CAAGTAGCATCAAGAATAACACTTCTGACCCATGGTAGGAGGAGGGTCCACACCACATTCTTACCACTCAATCAAGTTATATGATCTTTACCAAAAAACTAAGTTCTTACCACTTAATCACGTTATATGATCTTAGCCAAAAAACTAAGTTCTTACCACTTATTCAAGTACTCTGATCTTAGCCAAGAAACTAAGTTCTTATCACTTATTCAAGTACTCTGATCTTAGCCAAGAAACTAAGTTCTTACCACTTAATCAAGTTATATGATCTTAACTGAGAAACTAATTTATTCCCATTTACTCAAGCTATGTGATCTTAACTGAGAAACTAAGTTATTCCCATTTACTCAAGCTATGTGATCTTAACTGAGAAACTAAGTTATTCCCATTTACTCAAGCTATGTGATCTTAACTGAAATATTAAGTTCTTACCACTAACTCAAGCTATGTGATCTTAACTGAAAGATTAAGTTCTTACCACTTACTCCAGCTATCTGATCTGAGCCAAGAAACTAAGTTCTTACCACTTACTCGAGTTATCTGATGTCTGTGAGCTGTGTAATCCTGCCAGTCAGCTGGTACTGTTAGTGGAAAACGAAATGTACGAAGTAAACCATTGTTTGTTCCACCAAATAACATACGACCTGAATGACTCAAAGCAACAGTTGTCAAGACAACATTTCCCATTTCTGCTTTTCGTATAATCTAGGGAGAAATTCAGGATTGACCAAAGTTGGATTTTTTAAAAAAAATTTGTAGTTTTGAAAGTAATTTTACTTCAAATATGTATATGGACGTAATAACATTGGAAAACTGCTATACATTCAAAACAAATTAAGTTAGTCTACAATAGTTTTTGTAAGATAAACTATCCAAATATTTTGCTTCCCATACAAAAAGTCTTATAACAAGGAGAGACACTTCCATCTTCAAGAATAAAACTGCACAATGGAAGAACTACATTTGGAAATTACTTAAGTTAATGAATATTTATTCTCATATCATTTAATGGAGCTGTAGAACCTCTAAACATCAAGCCAATATTAACCATAGTACAATAAAATTATCATATAACAAACCTGTGAATCTGAAATCTCTTTGATTGTCTTGTCAGTACCAACAGCAAATGTTGTTTTACCATCTGAGCTAATGCTAACATCAGTGTAACTGCAAGTCTTCAGAACACTTTCACCAGATCTAGTGCCTGAAAAAATATCCCACTCGTACACAGCTCCATCCATCCCACAAGAAACTAGTCGGTAATCATCCCAACTCCACACCAAAGCTCTTATCTATGTAATAAAAACCAAAACCTAAACTGGTATTTACCTTGAACAGATAAGATTTCCTTGCTACAGTGAATTTTGAGAAAGAATACTATTAAAAGAGCATGCCATTTAACACATATTATTTTCTAAATCTAAATTTAAAACAAAGTGGCTAAAAGGCTTACTGATCCATTGTGACCTTTGAAATTTGCAAAGTTTTCGTACGTGATGCTTGAAAACAACTGAATCACATTTCCATGAACAGCAGCAAATATGTGGCCTCCATTGCTAAAGGAACACTGAAAATAAAAACTATATATGTAAAACATAAACCGTCACTAGTCAAGAAATCCTTCCTCAAATTAACAACTTCTTTATATACTGTTCACTGCTTGTGAATTAACAACTTGTTTATATACTGTTCACTGCTTGTAAACTAACAACTTGTTTATATAATGTTCACTGTTGTGAATTAACAACTTGTTTATATACTGTTCACTGCTT